ATTATATGATATTATATTATATTATATTATGATCTTATATGATATGATATTATATTAAATGATATTATATGATATTATATGATATGATATTATATTATATTATATTATATGATATTGTTTTATATTATATTATATGATATTATATGATATGAAATTATATTAAATGATATTATATTGTATTATATTATATTAAATGATATTATATGATATTATATATACATTATCATATATATATATACATGTAATCATTTAACCATGGCACTCATGACATCTCAACAAGCAGGGTCAACAGGATCATCGACCTCCCATGTCTTGTCTTCCTAGTGCCGTGCAACATTGAGCATAGCTTGTATGATTTAGGGCCAAAAATTAGGGGGTTCCTAAAAAAACCTGGGGAAAATCATGGGAAAACCATAGGAAAATCATAGGAAATCATGGGGTCAATATATGAGGGTTGCCATAGTCATGGGAGTACCCTAAGCTCGCTGGATGCTTTAGTTCATGGAAAATCCCCAAACAAATAGCTGGATGATGACTGGGGGTACCCCTATTTCAGGTAACCTCCATTTGGGAATGCGTGGTTATTCCTGGATTCACGAGCAAATCTTGATTTCCCTGTGCTGGTTTCGCACCTGAACACACCTACTTCCATCCCAGTGTTTGAAAATGATGGGGAAACTACCAAATTTGATGATTGATCATAATCTTCCCTATTATCTAAATGACCATAAATGGTAGTATCTGGTACCCCCTAGTTGGGTCTGTCTGAAAACAAAGCATATTCAAATTGGAGCTTGAGGGGTATGTCATATATCTCATTTTCAGACAAACCCACTCGAGCAGTGTTTAAACCCTCTGTTGTCCCTTTCTACTCATTGGTCAATAAGATTTCCCAATTCCTAAATATATTGGGTACAGTAGTATCATCCGTTGTAATCATTAGTCTACAAGGCTTTTGAACACTTCTCAATTGGGGGGCTTTCTCGTAAGTGGTTAAACACCTTTATATCTTACATGACTGGTGGAATCTCTAACCGGACTTCTATACGCAATTGCTAACTGCAAGTTTCTTATGGTATACCCATTATGAAACATCACCAATTTCAGCAGCCATATTATAGTTATCACTTGTCACTCGTATTGTATATATATATATATAGTACATACATATCTGGCTGAATTGTATGAACTGACTAACCTGAACATACCTAAAACTTGCGGCCATTTGGGGATGATTCCCCGAATCCAAATCATCATTCCAGTGACGCCACGTGAGGATCAAGTTTATCCAGATGATTCCAGATTAATATCATACTAATTATACATATCCAGAGATGAATTATGCAAACTAAGTATATATGGAATTATATTAGTATCTTGCATATCCAAATACGTTCTTATATACATACATATATGTATATATATAATTTTATAATATGTGTATATATATATATAAACATATTATCTGGTTGGTGGTTTCAACCCCTCTGAATAATGTTGGGGTTACTATTCCCAATATATGGGAAGTCATAAAACATGTTCCAAACCACCAACCAGTAATTGTACTTGTCAACATAAAACCCATTTTGGTCCCGTTTGTCCTCCAAATTTGGCCCCTGCCGCCCGTTCTGCGGTTCTGCGTTTCCGTCCTGCGGCATTTTGCCAGAGCCAGGCGCCATAACCTCACTGGATGGGGCCCAGTCGAGCTCGCGTTCAGTTGCCGTCAGAAAAGTGGCTGAAGTTTATCTGGTTGGTACTTTTGGTCAAACCCATCCATCAATATACCAAAAATCTATCTAAGTTGGTTCATAACTCCAATAACTATGGTTTATGATACGCAAATAACTATCTGGTAGGTGGCATACCTACCCCTCTGAAAAATGATGGAGTCCGTCAATTGGGATGATGACATTCCCAATATGATGGGAAAATAAAACATGTTCCAAACCAACAACCAGTTATGGTTTATGGATGTTTATGGTAGATATAACGAACTAGTTCATAGGTGTTATTTCATGGTTTATAAACCAACGTTCACATCACTGGGGGGCCCCATCCTGTAGGAAACCCACCCAATAAGATGGACAAATGGGGGGTAAAATGGGAGTACCCCAGTCACCATAGGTTTCAATACTAAAATGGTCTAATTGTGGATGATTTGGGGGTACCCATATTTTAGGAAACCCGAAAATCAGAGTGTACTAAAGTAAACGATAAATCATGCCAAATCTATTTGGCACTAAATTATTTTGGTAGGAGTCTGTTTTCCTATTTTTTGAAGTTGCTATACAGGACACCATACTTGTTTACAGGATTTTACACATGAACATATTTGAGGGTGTCCTGCATATTTTCCCTTCAACAGATTTTGGAAGTTTGGTGATTTACACACAATTATGGGTGATAGACATGATAATCATGATAAAACCAATGCTGGTTGGTGGTTTCAACCCCTCTGAAAAATATGAGCTCGTCAGTTGGGATGATTATATATTCCCATCTATGATGGAAAGTCATTCAAAATTCCATGGTTCCAAACCACCAAGCAGTGATAAAACCAACCTCTGGATCAGTGAAACCCTGTGACGTCACGTGGCGACGCTCGTGCTCCCATGTAAGGATTGGTGCTGAGGCACTTCTGCCCAAAACGATTCATATATGTAGATATACAGTGTATATATATTTATATGGATCAGTATGTATGGTGCTAAGTCATTGCCATCTACTTCAAATGGAGTTGGGTCAAAACCTGCTATACGAAAAACCATATTTGGGGGAATGAACATCCATTTGCAAGATCCATGTTCCAGCTATTTTGGGGTTCTCCAGGGTAGCAAGGTTTCGACTTGCAACCAAGTGGGTTCCATCTGCTCGACGCGATTCCACATTTTTGCAGGTGAATTTAAGTGGAACATGTTGAAAACACGAAAAAGTGGTACCCAAGTCATCAAAAGTTAAACCATTTTAGAATTGAAAGCCATGGTTTTGGAGATCCCCCATTTTAAGAAACAGCCATATCCAACTTTGAATGCCATCCTCCACACAAATGTTCACAGCGTTTTTTTTGGCAGGATGATGAACAACCCGTACCTCACAATCCCCGGTTGGAAATTGTCTGTGCTCTCCCCTGGACTGTCAAAACATGCGTGCCATAGTCCATTCTAAAAAAGGCTCAAATCCCCATTCTTGATGTTTGAATGCCACAATTTTATGGTTCAATCTGCTGTGTGAATCTCATACTTTTCCCAGAACTATAGCTGGTTGGTGGTTTCAACCTACCCCTCTGAAAAATATGAGTTCGTCAGTTGGGATGATTCTTCCCAATATATGGAAAAAAACAAAATGATCCAAACCACCAACCAGATAGTGATATATCCACTTTTAACTGGAAGTGCACTTCCACACATACTTTTCCCAGGATGGACACGACCATCTTTAGGATTCCCAACTGCCCAATCTGGTGGCAACACCCGTGACATTTGGGAAGTCCTGGGCGATGGGATCCAGTGCACCCCCAGTCATGGGTGGTTTATGACAGTGTTTTAAGCACATCAACCATCATTATCATAGAATTCAATTATGGGAAATTTGCAGGAAAACCCTATATTTGATGGTAAAAACCATGGTTTCCTGTAGATTTTCCCTTAAACCAATCCAGTGACATTAACCATCAGTAACCATCATTAACCATCATTGATTAACCACTATCAACCATCATTGCCCATTAATGTATCAGCCAGTAACCATCATTAACCTATATTAGCCAACATTTTTTTTAAGCAAGTTATAAATTTGTAAAATTGCTTATCATCATCCAAGCATCATTTCAATGGCCATGATTCAGGAACCGATTGATTGGAGGTACCTACCATATATATGGCTTATTTTTCAGGCCTATGTAAGGGGATATATACCCTCAAAATATGGCCTTATATGGTACAGTACCTCCATTTTAGGATCATGGCATTCCCATTGATCATTTATCAATTCTGACGATGCTAAGACTGATGGTGAAATCACCACTAACCTCCCCATTTTTCTTGGTGAATACAGTACCTACAAGGTGGTGCCCCCCAGTTATAAATCAGTTTATAATCCCCATGAAAACTATAGATATATCACCTATAAACCATGGTGAAATTGGAGTTATAAATCAACATAGCTATCTTGGGGGGACCACCTTGTAAGTGGTTAATAAGCCTAATTAGTACCCTAAATGGGGGGGAAAACCCATATATATATATATAAATTTGGTTAGAACTATGGTGACTAATTAACCAGTTACTAAGCAGGATTATCCTCTACCCTCTGGTAATTTAACATAGCTATTGAAAATGGCCCATTTATAGTTGATTTACCTATTAATAGCATGGTGATTTTCCATAGTTTTTTGATGTTTTTTGTATGTTTACCAGAGGGTAAGTATCCATGCTGGCAAATTTAGGATTCCCAAGTCTGAGTCTGAAGATTTCTTGTGGAGAACACCTCGCAACAAGATGGACGTTCTGTGAGGTCGCGACGTGAAGTCTGGTGGACGCGTATGATAAATGACGACCTTTTTTTCCATGGCAATGGAGAGTTGGATAAATTTAAGGGTCATTTCAACTATTGCAGGTACCATTCTATCATATTCTATCCTGGTTGGTGGTATACCTACCACCCCTCTGAAAAATGATGGAGTGAAAGTCAGTTGGGATGATGACATTCCCAATCTATGGAAAAATAAGATTCAGGTTCCAAACCACCAACCAGATAAAATCTCCAAATATTATGGAAAATAAAATTGATGTTTGAAACCACCAACCAGCCAATCATTCTGAAGAAATCTTTGGTCACAATTGGCACGGAAATCACATGCGTTTCAGTCAATGATTCTGAAAGTGGGGGTGTTGCTATTCCTGTGTTGGGTCGCCACAGGATCCTAAATTGGAGGTACCTACCATATATAAGGACTATATATATATATATATGTAAGGGAATATCCCAACAAAATATGATCTTATATGGTACAGTACCTCCATATTAGGATCCTGAAATTTCCATTGAACATGATTTGTTTGAGATGCCACGAGATGTTTTCCCTAACCCGCGAAGGTACGACAAAGTACCTGGAAACCTGAACACATGCTGACCGCTACGGAGCCTCTGACCAAACAGTGATTCAAATCACTGCCGTCCTTCAGAAAAATAACATGTTGTCAATGGGCAATGGCAAAGTCCCGTTTGGGAATGGTTTTGAGTCTGTAGGTTGGCACTGTTGCGGGGTATATGGCTACCCGGCTACCCTCTGGTAGTGTAGCATACCTATTGAAAATGACCGTTTATAGTTGATTTACCTATTCTTACTAATGTCATCTTCCATAGCTATCCATAGCAAACTCTTACTTTACCAAACTGGTTGGTGGTATACCTACCCCTCTGAAAAATATGAGTTCGTCAGTTGGGATGATGACATTCCCAATCTATGGAAAGTCATAAAATTCCATGGTTCCAAACCACCAATCAGCAAAGGCTATCCCCAAAATTGGCCAGGCCTGCCCAAATTTTGCCAACCGGCTGACTGGTTAGATCCCAATCGATAGTTAAGCCCCCTTAATCAGAGGCGGTATTTCTTCAAACTACCCGGCCTGGTAAACGTTTACAAAAAACTATGGAAAATCACCATTATTACTGTAATGGGTAAATCCACTATTTCGACTGGGCCATTTTCAATAGCTATGTGGCTATGTAAACGTTTACCAGAGGGTATCCTCATATATCTCATTCTGCCATCATTGTTCATAGAATTAAGTAACCATTCTTCTTCATCAAATCCCATTATGAAAAGCATATCCATCATTCCCATCCATATGCCCTAATGTGGTTAAAACAATGCCATAAACCATCCCCTAGTCATCATCATTTTTATGACGATGCTACGGTTACCATTCCCAGTCATGGGTGGTAAACATGGCATTGTTTTAACCACAGTATTCTTCATATTAACCACATAAAACCCATATGTTCATTGGTTGCATATTATGCTCCACATTAAAACCACATTAAAACCCCATAAAACTCATATTAACCACATAAAACCACATATTATTCTCCATAAAAACTCCCTCTTTTCATTGGTTGAATCAGGTTGAATCCCAATGAAACCATCATGTTTTCCATCCAAAAAATCATCGCTGTCCATCGCTGTCTCCTTGGCATAGTGTTCCTCGAAGGCCGGCAACTTCAAACGCTTGGCCGTGGCATGGAGGAAGGAGGCCATGGAGGATAGCAACCGAGCCTGGAATGACTGGAATGACTGGAACTGCTGGAAGACCAGCTGGTTGGGGTTCAGAGAACTCCTGAAATTGTCACCCTGGGATTTGTCATGATTGGTGAATTATGGATATTTATGGTAGGTACAGATGTGTATATATAACTATATACGTATATAATATCATGATATATCGAACTAGTTGCTATGATTTATAAACCAACTCATAACTAGGGATGCACCACCCTGTAGACGGTACAGGAAGGGTGGAACAAAAACTGGAAAACTTTGGAACATGGGGGGATCTATAGTTAATATAAGATTGGTTACCCTCTGGCAAACGTTTACATAACTACGGAAAATCACCATTTTCAATGGGTAAATCAACTATTTCTATGACCATGTTCAATATAGCTATGCAAGACATAACCAGAGGGGATCCGTCAACTTGGTCAGAATCACTAGAGGCGAAGTCTTGGAGTGGTGGATATGTTGAACTTGTTGGTGGGGCTTACCGGCTGACCACCTTCTGAAAATCCATCGAAATAACATCAATGTTAATGTCAACCCCGGATTAAAAAAAAAGTTTATTAATTAGGGGGGTACTCCTCCAATAGTCATAATCTAATACTTAAATGGTACCCTCCCAATTAAACAGCCTAGGGGTTTATTAATCTAGGGTTGACATTATCAATGTGTTTTTGTTTATTTTCCTACTGTTTGTTTTGCTTTACTGACTTTAAACACTAGTTTTTAATTAGGAATGTTGAATATGATTGATTCTCGACCATGGGGCTATGAAGGGGTTGATTCTACAACAATTTGAGCCGTGGAAGTTGTAATCCTGGTGCTTCGCCTAGTGGTGGCCCAGTGGGGTGAAATCACCCAGAATTCAGTGGACCAAATACCACCAAGCATTGACTGGTTGGTGGTATACTCTGAAAAATATGAGTTCGTCAATTGGGATGATGACATTCCCAACTGAATGGAAAAATAAAATTGATGTTCCAAACCACCAACCAGATTGAAGATGGGTTTTGAAAAATGTGCATTGTCCTACCTGGTCTATTAGGGATTCCGATAGTTCGTGCTGTTCGGGATGCCTCTTCCAATAAAACAGGATGCGGAGCCGAGATATATTTCGGGGGAGAAAAACAGAACCCAAGCTTGGGACGAGACCCATTATAAACCAGTTATCCCTTTTCTAGTTTCCAATTAAACACTGGTTCTCCCTGCATTGCGGAAAGAGACATGGCCACATGGCATTTCAATGGCATTTGCAGAATCTCTGGTTTGACAAGGTGGGCTATTCATAAGGATATGGGTCAAAACTAAAGACCTGGGGGACCACAGATTTCCGCCTATTTTTAGTATTAACCATCCAATACGTGGGGTACTCAATGACTTGACCCATACAACCCATACCCATAAAGCCTTGACGTCAATGGTAGAGTTCCCATCAAGGTGGGCCTCCCTTCGTAATTTGTTTCTTTGAGAAATCCCTCGTTCAAAAAAATGCTACAACCAAAAAGGGTTATAACAACTTTGATTTATAAACCCAATAGTAATTATAATTTGTAAAAAATATCAGATAAATTATAAGTACAATAAACCCAACAGTTAAACTAGTGAACTATATAAATATAAACCAACTTAGCGATTTCCGGTCACTGAGGCCCGGGTTCAACGGGTTCAACGGGTTCCGATCTGATGATCCCCGAGGAACCTGCAAGGAATGCAACTTCCATTCCTCATACCTCGAGGCGCGCTGAAAAACGCTGCTGATTCTGGCGCTGAAAAATTGGCGAAAGCCACGACATCTACATGTTTCTTGCCCATGGAGAAACAAATAGTTTCATTTATCAAACTTTATGGAATAACTGTATGTAATTACAGCGTACAACATTGTATAATCATATGTAAGCCCCAGATTTACAAGAGAAACGCGTCATTTCAATTGCAATTCCGGTAAGTCTCACAATATTAAAAAAAAACGGTGTTGTTTTTCGTAGCTCGCTCCACAACCGCAACCAATTCACCGCGATGAAGGCACTTCGCTGATGAACAAGCTTAGTTGGCTGCATCAAAAGTCACGATCATTGGCTCTCATAGGTGAAGGTCAAAATTGGATACCCCAACAATGAAATGGTTAGTAGTTCATACCAGTGGTACCCGCACGAGGCGGGGCGGAAGTTGCCTTAGGGTTATACTAAAAGACCTTTTCCATCTATAGAACTTGCATGCGTCGTGCGCCAGCCAGGCCCGTGCGTGCGTGCTTTGTGCGACAGCAATGCACTGTTCCAAAGGCCGCCCTTGAACTCTACACTTCACACTGCGCTCTTCACACTTCACACTTCGCACTTACACTTCACACTCCACACTTCATCTCATCTCATCTGAGCTCTTCTCACCTCATCTCATCTCATCTCTTCTCGTATGTCATCTAAATGCTTCTCAACTATTTCCTTTTCATCTGAGCACTGCTCAGCCTTTCTCATCTCACCGAAGCTCTTCTTCTTAACTCATCTCAGCTCTTGTGCACGTCGGAAAGCTTTTACTGTCAGAGAGAAGTCTCTTGCACACAAAAGCCGTTGCGCGCAGAAAGCTTTTGCACACAGAAGCTTTTGCACACAGATGCATTTACACAGAGAAGCTTTTACACAGATAAGTTTTTACACAGAGAAGCTTTTGCACACAGAAGCTTTTACACAGAGAAACTTCTACACACAGCAAGCGTTTACACAGAGAAAACTTTTACACAGAATGCTTTTACACATGGCAAGCGTTTACACGCAGCAATCTTTTACGTTGAGAACCTTTTTCACACAGCAAGCTTTTACACACAGAAGTTTTTACACATAGCACGCTTTTACACACAGCAGCTTTTACACACAGCAAACTTTTATACAGAAAAGCTTCTACGCAGAGAAGAGAAGCTGCTTTACGCAGAGAAGCTTTTACACAGAGAAGCAAGTCCCAGTATACTGTGTACTACAAAGCTTGCACGAAGTACTTCCAAGTACTACTTTGTACTACAAAGCTTGCGCAAAGTACTTCCCAGTATTACTTTGTACTACAAAGCTTCCACGAAGCACGTCCCAGTACTACTTTGTACTACAAAGTTTGCACAAAGTACGTCCCAGTACTACTTTGTACTACAAAGCTTGCGCAAAGTACTTCCCAGTAAAACTTTGTATTACAAAGCTTCCACGAAGCACGTCCCAGTACTACTTTGTACTACAAAGCTTGCACAAAGTACGTCCCAGTACTACTGTGTACTACAAGGCTTGCGCAAAGTACGTCCCAGTACTACTTTGTACTACAAAGCTTGCGCAAAGTACTTCCCAGTACTACTTTGTACTACAAAGCTTCCACGAAGCACGTCCCAGGACTACTTTGTACTACAAAGCTTGCGCAAAGTACGTCCCAGTACTACTTTGTACTACAAAGCTTGCACAAAGTACGCCCCAGTACTACTACTTTGTACCACACAGCTTGCGCAAAGTACTTCCCAGCACTACTTTGTACTACAGAGCTTGCACAAAGTACGTCCCAGTACTACTTTGTATTTGCACAAGGCTTGCACGGAAAAAAACGCGATTTTGAAGAACTTTCTTAAAGGAATTTTAAAAAGAAAAATCACCACCCCCAAAACGGAGAAAATCTACTGAGAAATCTCACTATCGCAACCTTGATGCAGCCACTCCAATAAGATTCACGCCTTTCAGCTGCAAAAATAAAGTTCATCACGTGTGACCATCTAAATGATCTCAAATAATTCCCAGTAGGATGCAAAACGTTTGGGCTGTTTGGAACTATAAACAATGAGAGCCACTTCGTAGCAGCATCGACTGGCCCAACCAGGTTGCAGAGACCAACTAAAACATCAAGCAACCGAAAGAAACTTGCGCCTGAAAAACCACAACCACATGTAAAACACAGGCAGATACAGCCCACAGAGATCTGCGCCTTCTTCGCACAGCAACGATACCAATCGCCATTCACATCAGTGAACCACTCCGGCCAACCCTAACCAGACACTCAACCGCCAGCAAGCAACATGCATCTGAACAAACAATGTATGCAGTCCTCGCCGCCTTCATCGGGCTTCGCAGCAACAGTTTGATCCCCCGCCACATACTCAACAACAAAGACTGCAATGGCTGCTTCCAAAACAATGGTGTAATAACACATTCAAAACATCATTGCCCTCTAAGCAGTCCTTCTGGGCTTCATCCGGCTTGTCACCAGCGGGTTCATCCTACGCCACATACTCAACGACAAAGACCGCAACAGCTGATTCCAAAACAGGGATGCCATAACAAAATCAAAGCATATCAAAGCATCATGCGTTCAGCAGCTGCTTCCTGACATAAACCCAAGATCTGTGGGTGCAAGCTTTCTCCCTCGCAATTAATAAGTGTCTATCTCAACTGCTTTGGTCTGCAACACTTCAAACCCCTTTTAACCGCTTCACTTCAACCCCCATCTGTTCTTTCATTTTTTCCAAAATTGCTTCGGATGAAGTAGTCAGCTGACATCCTGACTCGCAGAGTCGTACTCTTGCCCTGTTTCCCCATTCCACAAAAAAAGTTCACAAATACTAAAGTGAAGCAGCCCCATACACCCCCCCGAACCTATATTTTACCCAAGGGTAAGGTGCTTCCTCAGCCCAGGGTTCCTTCTCGGCTGGTTGTTATTTCCCCACCTGCCAGGTGAGGGTTGTTAGATTTTATCAGAGCTCTTGCCCGCCTCCTCCTCCTCCTCGACTAGCTGAACTCTTCCTCGTCGTCCTCCTCCTCGCCTCCTCCTCCAGTTTCTCCTCGACTATGTCTGCATCAACTTCCACCTCCACTTCCGCCTTGCCAACTCGTCGCCAAGCTCTTCGCAACTTCCCAGCTCACTGCAACCCCTCAACCTGGGAGCTCCCCAGCTCAGTGCGCACCGCTGGACCTCAACCTCGGGCGTTCCCAGCTCAGTGCGCACCGCTGGACCTCAACCTGGGACCTTTCCAGCTCAGTGGGCACCGCTGGGCCTCAAGGACCTCAACCTGGGACCTTCACAGCTCAGTGCACACCGCTGGACCTCAACCTGGGACCTTCCCAGCTCAGTGCGCACCGCTGGACCTCAACCTGGGACCTGCCCAGCTCAGTGTGCACCGCTGGACCTCAACGGCCAGATAGAATGTCAGAAAGAATGTCAGAAGATATGCCAGAAAGAATGTCAGAAGATATGTCAGATAGAATGTCAGAAGATATGCCAGATAGAATGCCAGAAGATATGCCAGATAGAATGCCAGATAGAATGCCAGAAAGAATCCCATAAGGTATGCCAGATAGAATGCCAGATAAAATGTCGGATAGAATGCCACAAGATATGCCAGATAGAATGCCAGAAGATATGTCAGATAGAATGCCAGAAGATACGCCAGATAGAATGCCAGAAGATATGCCAGAAGATATGCCAGAACATATGCCAGAAGATATGCCAGATAGAATGCCAGAAGATATGCCAGAAGATATGCCAGATAGAACGCCAGAAGATATGCCAGATAGAATGCCAGAAGATATGTCAGAATATATGCCAGATAGAATGTCAGATAGAATGCCAGAAGGTATGTCAGATAGAATGCCAGAAGATATGTCAGATAGACTGCCAGAAGATATGCCAGAACATATTGCAGAAGATATGCCAGGCAGAATGCCAGAAGATATGCCAGATAGAATGCCAGAAGATATGCCAGGTAAAATGCCAGAAGATATGTCAGATAGAATGCCAGAAGATTTGCCAGTAACAAAACGTATAGATGTCATGGTGGGGATAACTCGAAGTAGCGATTTTATTTCACTTTCTATTTTTTTGGGCGAACCTGGGAGATAGCATGCACCCCTTAGGAGAGCACGAAGTGTCCGGGACCTCTAAAGAAACCAATAAGCATTGCAAGGTTGCTTTCTCAATGGTACGTTGCCATCTCGTTTCTTTTTTTCAAAAGAAACAGAAAACCAGACAAAAAAAGACTTACTTTACTTCGAGTTATCCCCACCATGACAACTATACGTTTTGTTACTGGCAAATCTTCTGGCATTCTATCTGACATATCTTCCGGCATTTAATCTGGCATATCTTCTGGCATTCTATCTTGCATATCTTCTGGCATTCTACCTGGCATATCTTCTGCAATATGTGCTGGCATAACTTCTGGCAACCTATCTGACATATCTTCTGGCATATCTTCTGGCATATGTTCTGGCATATCTTCTGGCATTCTATCTGGCATATCTTCTGGCATTCTATCTGACATTCTATCTGGCATACTTTCTGGCATTCTATCTGGCATATCTTCTGGCATTTTATCTGGCATATCCTCTGGCATTCTATCTGGCATATCCTCTGGCATTCTATCTGGCATATCTTCTGACATTCTATCTGACATATCTTCTGGCATTCTTTCTGGCATATCTTCTGGCATATCTTCTGGCATATCTTCTGGCATTCTATCTGGCATATCTTCTGGCATTCTATCTGGCATATCTTCTGGCATATGTTCTGGCATATCTTCTGGCATATCTTCTGGCATTTTATCTGGCATTCTATCTGGCATATCTTCTGGCATTCTATCTGACATATCTTCTGGCATTCTATCTGGCATATCTTGTGGCATTCTATCTGACATTTTATCTGGCATTCTATCTGGCATATCTTCTGGCATTCTATCTGGCCGTTGAGGTCCAGCGGTGCTCACTGAGCTCGGAAGGTCCCAGGTTGAGGTCCAGCGGTGCTCACTGAGCTCGGAGGGTCCCAGGTTGAGGTCCAGCGGTGCTTACTGAGCTTGGACGGTCCCAGGTTGAGCGGTGCTCACTTAGCTCGGAAGGTCCCAGGTTGAGGTCCAGCGGTGCTCACTGAGCTCGGAGGATCCCAGGTTGAGGTCCAGCGGTGCTCACTGAGCTCGGACGGTTGGAGGTTGAAGTCCAGCGGTGCTCACTGAGCTTGGAAGGTCCCAGGTTGAGGTCCAGCGGTGCCCAGTGCGTGCGGAAGTTGGCGAAGAGCTTGGCGCAGAGTTGGCAAGGCGGAAGTGGACATGGAGTGGAGGCAGAGGTGGTGGAGTTGAAGGAGGAGGAGAAGAACAACTCTGATAAAATCTAACAACCCTCACCTGGCAGGTGGGGAAAAACTCATTCCTTAGCTGGTTAGTAGATAATCCCATTGATACCTCGGATCACACAGCAACGAGTTAGGATACTAAAGTAGATAATCCCATTGGGAACTAATGGGGATTAGAATATGACAACCCCCACCTGGCAGGTGGGGAAAAATTACTTCACTTCGAATGATCCCGACCATGACATTTATACATTTTCTTACTGGCAAATCTTCTGGCATTCTATCTGACATATCTTCTGGCATTCTATCTGACATTCTATCTGGCATATCTTCTGACATTTCTTCTGGCATTCTATCTGGCATATCTTCTGGCATATGTTCTGGCATATCTTCTGGCATTCTATCTGGCAAATCTTCTGGCATTCTATCTGGCATATCTTCTGGCATTCTATCTGACATTCTATCTGGCATATCTTCTGACATTTCTTCTGGCATTCTATCTGGCATATCCTATTTTTTTCACTTTCTATTTTTTTGGGCGAACCTCGGAGATAGCATGCACCCCTTAGGAGAGCACGAAGTGTCCGGGACCTCTAAAGAAACCAATAAGCATTGCAAGGTTGCTTTCTCAATGGTACGTTGCCATCTCGTTTCTTTTTTTCAAAAGAAACAGAAAACCAGACAAAAAAAAGACTTACTTTACTTCGAGTTATCCCCACCATGACAACTATACGTTTTGTTACTGGCAAATCTTCTGGCATTCTATCTGACATATCTTCCGGCATTTAATCTGGCATATCTTCTGGCATTCTATCTTGCATATCTTCTGGCATTCTACCTGGCATATCTTCTGCAATATGTGCTGGCATATCTTCTGGCAGTCTATCTGACATATCTTCTGGCATTCTATCTGACATATCTTCTGGCATTCTATCTGGCAAATCTTCTGGCATATATTCTGACATATCTTCTGGCATTCTATCTGACATTCTATCTGGCATACTTTCTGGCATTCTATCTGTCATATCTTCTGGCATTTTATCTGGCATATCCTCTGGCATTCTATCTGGCATATCCTCTGGCATTCTATCTGGCATATCTTATGACATTCTATCTGACATATCTTCTGACATTCTTTCTGGCATATCTTCTGACATTCTGTCTGGCATATCTTCTGACATTATTTCTGACATTCTATCTGGCATATCTTCTGACATTCTATCTGATATCTTTTCTGACATTCTTCCCGTTGAGGTCCGGCAGTGCCCACTGCGATCTGGAAGTCGCGGTTGAGGTCCGGCAGTGCCCACTCCGATCTGGAAGTCGCGGTTGGGGTCCGGCAGTGCCCACTGCGATCTGGAAGTCGCGGTTGAGGTCCGGCAGTGCCCACTGCGATCTGGAAGTCGCGGTTGAGGTCCAGTGCCCACTGCAATCTGGAAGTCGCGGTTGAGGTCCGGCAGTGCCCACTGGGAGCTGGCGCTCGCGGTGGAGGTCCGCTCATAGGCTTTCAAACCCCCAAGGTGGTGCAGGATAAACCGCAACCATCCACAGTATGATGACTTTTGAATGAATTGTAACCGGTTTCCATTCAGTCATAAGAAAATAGATCATATTATAACATGGTTTCCTTTGAGGTGGCCAATCCAAGGTGCTGCACGATGATTGTAACTTCTTTCAAACCTGTTTCCAAAGAAAATATGATGGAACGAAAACCCATGCAACTGGCCAGGTCCCCCTGCTGAGCCCAAGTGCTGAAGATAACCATACTAATGTTATTACGAGGTGATGCCCCCCCAGTGATGTTTGTTGGTTTATTAACCCCTTAACTATAGAATGCTAAAGATATCTATAGAATACTAAAGATATCTATAGATATATTTACCATAAACCATAGTGGCATCTTTCGCCGCAGCTTCAACTCCTTTCGTCAAACGCCAAACGCCAAGCTGCAACAAGTGGAAGGACATGAAAAGGTCCTCCAGGTGTTGCCTCTGTCAGGATCAGGTTTAGGTTTAGGATTTACCCTCTGGTCATTTAACATAGCAATGGGAAATGGCCCATTTATAGAGGTTTACCTATTAAAATTTGGGATTTTCCATAGCTATGTTAGTCATAACCAGAAGGTAGTTGATCTGGGCCCACAAGGAGGTTTCCTAAGTCATGGGACTACCAACCTAGCTGGATGAAATGGATGATGATGGCTACCCCGCCATGGAATTGGAAACCCCCAGATGGCTGTGACAAGCAATTCGTAACTCTGGGTGGTATCATCCCAAGAATCGATGCAGGCACCAACTGCAACCAACTTTGGTTCACCACGTGAGATACTTGGACAAAAATACTGTTTGGACTGACTTTTGAATATATTTATACACATCATACATATACCACACATGTAATTATGTAGATGTAAATTATTAATCCAGCACTGTATCGGTATACATCCACTAAGCCTTCGCTAGCCTAGTCGGCTTCACCAGTCCGATATCTTCACCTGAAAAGCTCCGTCTTGGTCAGCAACTCGCTTTGCCACAGCTCTGAAGTCCTTGGGAACATTGAAAAAGTGGGGATTTGAAGCAGCAGAAAGCAGTAAACATTGTCAATTTCAGTGGTTTCATCTCAGAGAGAAACATCGGTCTAAGCAAAAAATGAAGGCATCGAAGAATGGTGATGTACGCGACTATCATCGTGATGTTTTAAGGGAAATGGCCCGCACCACCTGCTATATAGGTAGTAAAGGTTGATAGAAGTGTCGGATGTGGGTTGCTTTACAAATGGGTTGGGAACCAAATACCTCTGGAGTGCACATCCAAACAATAGGGACGAACAAGCCACAACTAATCTAAGTTTCTTAAGCAACTGAGATATAGGTCAGATTTCCAATGGCTAGTGGCTTTTTCAAAGCACTACTATAGTGGCTTCGAGCAACTGACTATTCCACGAAGGTGGTGCCCCCCTAGTTATTAACTATATCACCAACTTAACCATAGTTATTGCACTTATTTGCACCAACTTAGCGTTCACGAACTGGGGCACCACCCTGCAGGGATGCATATCCGATATATCCCCAACGAGAATGGGAAACCACCAGCCAGATCCAGCCAGCTCAGCCGGTGTTACTACTTGGATTTGCATCCCCGTACGAAGCACTTCCTCACTATTCGCGGGTCTGTTGCACTTACCCTCCGGGGTCATCAAACGATATCAAACGGCGCAACTGAAAATCCCCCAAAATACATCTATCAATGGTGTTTTAGCAATCAAACATAAACACCATTGATGGATTTTCCCCATTGTATTCAATTATATGTATTATAGCAAACATAGCAATCAAACGTGTAGCCATATAACAATGGGAAATCCCCCAAAATACATCTATAAATGATGGATTTTCCATTGCTATACGGCTATAGGTTTGATTGCCAGAGGTAGCCAATGCTTTGCAGCTGAGTTGTAGCAGCATGTTACTTCTGGAAACCATGGCCAATCAGCCAGATACCCTGCAAAAAATGACCCAAGTCTTGGCTGGTGAGTAGTGTTACCTATGTGTAGCAAAAGACTGAAGTACTAAAGTACCAAAAGAAACTATAGTTAGGATATGTTAAGATAATCTTTAGTTTAAGATAACCCCATTGATACCATAAGACTAGTTAGAATTAGTTTCTACTACCCTTCCAGTCGATTGACCTAGAATCCTTTTGCAACGGTCCCTAAGACAAAAAATCTAGGATCCGTTCGATCCTTTGTGGTTTCTGACTCAGGTGGCACCGCCCACCCGGCCTTTCAGAAGATCCTGCTTCCGGCTCCGCACCAGTCCTGGCACAGTGAACTGTATTTCGATGTTGTACATGATTGTATCATACATGTATATATCATACACATGTATTTTAATGTATTTTCTACATATGATTATAATCTCATATTCATAGAATGTATCCATGTTTTTTTTCTGCATATCTGCATACAAGATTATATATATATATATATGATCATATTGTGTATATATATATATATCTAATTATATATATAATTATATATATATAATTATATATATATATATCTATCTATCTATGATCCCGTCAAAATCCCTTACATCTGAGTAGTTGCTATTGTTCTGGTTATCGCTTTTGGGGGGCCTATCGCTTTCCAGGGTTTTGTGTGATTCATCAGTTTGCATGTGGCAAATTCAAGCATGAATTCATAGGCACAGGCTGATCTGCTTCATTTTCTACCTACTGCCATCATCATCCGCAAAGGAAGAACTTATTTCGCTGCTCGACGATGAAGTGGAACATCTTTCCGCCACATTCTTGCGCTTCATCCTCCGCTGCAAGAAAGCCTGCTTCCGCGCAGCCAGTTCTTCCTCAGTTTGAGGTACCCGATGCCGAACATGGACTGCATGAGGCAACAAGTGCTGCTATGCATTCTGTCTGCGCGTCAAGGCCGTTTCTTGGTGGGTTTCTAGCGGATGTGGATTCGTTCGCCAACTGTTTTCACCAGCACCATAGAAGCGGTGGCGCCAGTCAGCTGCCGCCTCTGTAGCATCTTCTTGCCACAAGCTGGCAGTCAGATCCACTCAAGCATCCTCTCCGCTGAAGATGTAGCTTGTGATGCGGACACCAAAACGATTAATCTTGGGGTTGGTGGCATGCGCACCTACGCAATAAGTTCTGCTGATGTGGAAGTCTGATCCTGTTCTCGCTTTCATGGCTTCAAGTCTTACTGTAATGAACATTGCTTTGGTATCGTGAACCGAGTTTGACTTGTTCAAAGTAAAAAAAGGTTTGAATCTGCCTGGCCTCTTCTCAAACCGCTCAATCTCTTCAGAAGTCGAGTGGCGTTTGAGTTCTCGGGTACCAGGCCTCGGGAAAGTCTGAGAGATAGAAGTATGATTGATAGATTGATAGCTGCATGCGAGGGTCAATTTCTCAGTCGAGCGAGAGCTCTGCAGAAGATCTTCCAAACTCACCTCTTCCAAACTCGCCTCGCCAATCAGGATGTCCTTGCGGACCTTGAGGTTCAGGCATTCCCTCCTGAACTGCCTTGCTGAGGATCCTTTTCTGGTTGGAACTGTTTTCGCCCAAAAAAGCTTCTAATCCCTCTGCTTGTCATCATTTGTGCAATGAGTGGAAATTTAGCAGACTCACCGCGAAGGACAACAATTTTGTTTTCGGGATATGACGTCTGTTGCTTGGACGATTCGTTCTTCGCCATTGTCACCAAGTCTTCCATTATCGAAGGAAGTTTAGAAGTCAAACTTCCGACAATATGGACAGATGAAAAGCAGAGAAGGGAAGAGGCAGAGAGAAGAGAAAGATTAGAAGGAAGAAGAGTAGAAGAGAAAGAGTCAGAAGAAAGCAGATGCAAATGCGAGAAAAGGTAGGAAAGTCGCGAAACACTGTGTTTTTCCATGTTTTTCCAATGATTTGGGGCGGAGGGTCGAAAAGTAGGCTCGCTAAAGCGGCGGGTGCGGAGCCAGCTGGCCAGATGAGAGATGAAAAATTGCACGCCCTTGTGGCGCGAAGCACATTTCGAAGTCAAAATGTACAAAACACACCATTCTCGGACCACTTTTGGAAGTTGAGATGTCGAAAAAGTGCACGCCGTTGTGGCGCGAAGCACATTTCCAAGTGAAAATGTACAAAACACAGCATTCTCGGACCACTTTGGAAGTTGAGATGTCGAAAAAGTGCACACCGTTGTGGCGCGAAGCACATTTCCAAGTCAAAATGTACAAAGCACAGCATTCTCTGACCACTTTTGGAAGTTGAGATGTCGAAAAAGTGCACACCGTTGTGGCGCGAAGCACATTTCCAAGTCAAAATGTACAAAACACAGCATTCTCGGACCACTTTGGAAGTTGAGATGTCGAAAAAGTGCACGCCGTTGTGGCGCGAAGCACATTTCCAAGTCAAAATGTACAAAGCACACCATGTACGGACCACTTTTGGAGGTTCAGATGTTGTTTCGCGTGGCAGGCGCAAGGGATTGTGGACCTTGTCAAAAGTGAGCAAAACGTGAGGGTTTTGTAGCATTTTCAACTACAACCACCACTACACCACACTACACTCCAATACCTTACACTACACTACAACTACAACTACAACTACACCTTCACTACATTCTACTACACTGCACTCCACTACACTACACTGCACTCAATTACACTCAATTACACTACACTACACTACATTACACTACACTACACTCCGCTACACTACACTACATTACACTACACTACATTACACTACACTACACTACATTACACTACACTACAACTACAACTCACTACACTACCTTCCACTACGCTACATTACACTACACTACACTACATTACACTACACTACATTACACTACACTACACTACCTTCCACTACACTACATTACATTACACTACACTACACTCCACTACACTACACTTCACTACATTACACTATAACTACAACTGCACACCGCATTTCCAGAAACGATGGCAGGCGTGGGGCATTTGAAGAGGATCTTCAAAGATGCATTTTGCGTGGCAGGTGCAGTACAAAAGACATGTTCATCAGAGATGTTCGGAGGTCAGGGCGCTCATTTCCTGAGAGGGGTTGCATTTTGGAGTATCAGATCTTCAGGTTTGCTGAGATGATTTTGCGTGACAGGTGCAGCACGTAAATTACAAAGTTGGCTAGCTGGGAAATCCCCGAACTAAATCCCCGAACTAAATCAAGGTTTGTAGCTGAAAAAATCATGGAACTGAAGGGGGGTTATCCAAGCAGTCGAAGACAACTTAGGAATTTACTGCTCAAGAAAAGAGGTGCAAAATCCCAATAGATTCTCCATGTTTGGTGGATTTACTTGTAAGAGAAGAACTCTGGGGTTATCCATTGGTTATCCTAGATATAAGTTGGACGACTAAACAGCTACTGATATAAGTTGGTTGTCCATTGGTTATCCTAGCTATATAAGATTCACCAGCTACTGACTGGACTGAACGTGTCGAGAAGATGCTGGATCTTTGGTGGATGAACTACCCAGAAAAATCACAGAACCAGCAAATGGAAGGGAGCACAAGATACTTTGGGCATATGGTGGTACCAGCAACAACTTATATAGCTAGCAAACGCTAGCTACGCAACGGAAGGGAATAAGTAAATGTATGACTAAGCCTGTATAATCTGTTCAGCCCTTTCTCAAAAGTGGGACAAGCCACTCCTACTCCATTGATGGCTATTAAAAGCTTAGTGGAGATGTTGGCAACCATCAATGTTGATTTTTAGCAATCCCCACAGAGATGCCCCGCTTTTAGTGTGCAACCAGCATGTTAGTTCGATGACATCTTTTTGGGGGCTATGATCCACTCAAATGTCGTTGAATACACGATCAAAAATAAACAAAACACTGGTGAGAAAGGGTGGTCTCCAGCCCAAAACAGAATTGAGCTGTTGGATATCACGGGAGTCACCAAGAAGAATCGAAATATATTGATACTATCACAAGGTACAATCCACTGGCTGGACGTTTCAACGCATAATTCATCGAAAACATTTCGTCCCATCAAATTGTCGATCCGAGATGAGGATGGCAAAGAAAACTTGAATCCACCCAATAAAGAGTTGCTGTCACCCCAAAATGAACATATTCAGCCAGCGGATGACATTCGACAGGGGATACCCCTGTCGAAAAAAACGTGTCTCAAAATTGGTAACACCACCAAAAAAGGCAAATGGTCGAACAAAGGACAAGTGACAAGGCATGGAAATTTGAAGTTCCCAATTTGAGACAACTTTCAGTTCCCTCAGTTCCCCCCCTCCGCCTGTGCTCAGGGTGGGGTTTGAACTCCTGCGAACCGTAAAACCACGACATTTTTGGATAGTGTATTTTCAAACACACAACAATTCCAACGATTATATCTATGGTATAATTTGCTGACATTGTTTTTTTTTGAGGGGGGGTGAATGTACCATACGCGGAGTTTATGGGAGGGATGGATAGTAAGAACATGTAAGAATGGACGTGCCATGGTTGAAGAAACAACAGATGCATTCGTATCCGGAAATCTACAATGGAGCTCTCCTTCATGGCAATTCCCCAACAAAAATGAAAAATCATCGACCGAAAACCAGGAAAGTACACTGTGGGATATGGGTAAAGCATATAACCTCTTGTAATTTGATGTAACTATGGAAAATCTACATTTTTAATAGGTAAATCATCATAAATCATCTAATGGGCCATTTTCCATAGCTATGTTAAATAACCAAGGGTAAAATCGTTCATCACAGGGATGTGGATGTGACCGCTACACTGGGCATGGGAGAGATAGGAGAGATAATCCTCCACACGCAAGATCATCCTCGAAGTATATTTTTCCACTTGTAGCAATCCCCCAAAAGACGCCAAAAAAATGTTTATCATCATATGCCCCATGAAAAGTGCCAGATATGGGTGTAAATCCCTCGTCTTGAGACACATGTCATAGGGTTGATTAGATATGCGTACTATGATGGTACTGTGGATGGAAGAAATCCTGGACCAGCTGATATGTGGTTTATCCCATTATTTTTAGGGTTTCAACCATCCAAGGTGGTGCAAGATTTCTTCCATCCACAGTATGTCTCCTAATGGTTGGTTTTATCCCCCGTTTTTCTGACACCACATCAGATCTCCCAGTGCATCCCATGTATATCCCATTGCCCGGTTTTAGATCCATTGATATCCCATGTATAACACACTTTTTTTTCAATCGAATTGGGGTCTCAGGATGTAGAATATGGGTCATAGATCATCCAAATTCAAGTTTGGTTTAATGGGTCAGTCCCTTTTGTCACTCCTTCATGCTTTTGGTAAGTTTCCTGAAATTAATAGAAACTATTCGCCTGATTTTGCCAGCAGTTAGTTGTTTTAACAAATTTCAAGGTTTTCCCCTTTTTATTTTAATATAAAATCTACTACAACTTTATTATTGACCTTAAATGGTGAACTGGATTGAAATGGTGGTCTTGGACCCCAACAGTAAAAGAGGCCACGTGTTTGAGGCTTGGATGCGGTTGATACAAAATGAATTTGCAACATATATGTTTTTTTTTTAGTAGATATGTTGGTCCTGATTAGGGTCTCTTCAAGCAGCAAGTTGTGCTTGACCTTGGTTGAATATAAATTTAAAGAAAGGCGCCTGTCAGGGAATTTCTTCGCCAAGCGCGGTTTAATTGATTTGTGTATCGGGTGACGCTACAGATTGGACATGATTGGACAATTGATTTTTTAGTGAAGAAATTTGATTCTTATAAGCATTATTAGAAACCTCTTCGGCGAGCACATGCTGATTAACAATCGTATGTTGATATTGCTGATTAACTTTGCATGGTTTTGGTCCAAGTGCTGCTTTCAGATTCCAGGTCCGGGTGTGCGCGAATCTCCTGTATAACAAATGTCGCACTTGTACTAATTACATGTTTTTTTTCTGTATATAACTAGTTCTAACATGTTTTTACATGTTTTTAGCTATTTGGGTGGATTTGAACATTCATTAGGGGGGCGGGGGAAGGGAATACTTAAACGAAAATCACGCCACAGGGGCCCCATTTTACCACGTTTCTGGAAATACATCAAAATGTAAGATGAGACATGTGTGTTGATTGTTTTGCACGTCTTGCAATATCCCACACCATACTACGATAGAACAACGCTATTTAGTTTATAATTACATATATGATATTGTATTTACTATATCTTGTCCTTATGTCTCTCATTTCCTTTTCAATTTGTCGAAAATGTTATCTATGTTTCACTCTTCTAAAAGGTTTACTACTAAATTGGCACCAAATATTGTAGTAGCTTCTCTCTGTAAACTGCTTAATCTTTCCAAAGGTCTGTACGGGGGGGTCGATGTTTTTTTTTTCGACCCCCCCCCCTTCGACTCCTGAAGACTTAGATTGACTGGCCAGAATCCATTCAGTTCATTCTAACCGGACGTACAGTCATTAATAACATACAGTTTCACTCCCCAGGGAGTTTTAACTATGGGGAGGATTTGGGCACTAGGATATGAAGAAATAAATGGTTCCCAAATGATGTCCCCAAATCAAAGTCAGCTATCCCATAATCGACTGCAAAAGTTCTCACTACGTCTCGCAATATTGCCACGAAACGGATTGGTGGAGTAGTACGGTTCCAAGGGGTCGACAAAGGGTAGCAAATGCTCCCTAGACTGAAGTTCGGCTGGCTCAATCCCAAAGCTGGAAGGATTGCATTGATCGTGTGCTCCTTCTCTTCCTTGTCCTTGTCAAACTCAATGGTGATGCTCTGTTCATCTGGAGGCAGAGATGAAATCCATGGATAGTTGCCCTGTGCTGACAGCCAGCCAAAAATAGCCACCACGGTGAAAGAAACTGCGCCGGAAAAAAAACATCAAGAATCTTGACCACAAACGCAAAAACGCCGGCTGTAAAATGATTGGAGAGTGCAACCCCTGTTGCCCGCGCTCCAACGCTCGTGGGCGTTTGTGCATGTGCTGATGTCGAAAACGTTAACTCTGAAATGTCAACTAAAACTGAAATATATTTTGTTGGGAGGGAGGGAGTGGTCTAAAAACAAATAAGTCTTAAATCCTCAGCCTGAACTGCATGGAATATGCAATTTTAAGTCACGGTAAGTGCCTAGGCTCTGAATTCCCTTGGGCAAACTAACATCAAAGAAAAAATGGTGGGGTTTCTACATCCAACTGTTAGTTTAAAAGAGAGTAAATAGAAGAATCTTGTCTTATACCACTTCTTATACCCTCCGGTAATCTAACATGGCTATAAATTAAAAACCATCATGCTGGGTTAATTATAATATTTCACTAACCTGAATTAAGGCCATTTGGGAATGATTTCCCTTACTAACCATGATTCCAGTGAGGTCGCAGTGAGGTCGTTATAATTTACCCAGATCATGTCTAATAAATCCAAACCCGTCGACTCCCGACCTGTGAAGCCTTAAGTCCCGAATAGCGGAACCGATGACGCTCGTGGGCGTGCACGTCACCTGCGGAAACATGTCGCGAAAAATTATCGACAAGGTGGTGTCCAAGCACAGTACGTTGGTTGATTGTACTAACAGAAATTGTGATTTAATGGGATTTAATGGGATTTAGTTTGCTAAATCTAGCTAAGTTGGATTTTAATTAAGTAGGTTAACTAGGATTGATGGTAAATATATCTACAAATATAGTCTGAATATAGTTGATCGAGGTTGTAACATGCTATAAGCCAGCCTGAAACTGATGAGAATCACCTTGTACCTGGCTATAGTCTTCAGGGCGGATGATACACATCTAGTGAAATATATGTTAATTTGTATGTCTGAAAATGGGGTATACACCCCAAAATTGCATCAATTTGCACCTTTTGTGGGGAACATGATGAATATTCCATTGCAATTGGAGGTAGCCTAGTTTTAGGCAAACCCAATGTTTATTCATGCGTATCCCTCTTCAATGATTTTTCACTGTCTGATCGGCATTTTTTTTCAAATCAATAGGCAATAGGATTGAAATTAAAAACTGTTTGAAACCACGAACCATTTTTCATTCTTTTCAGTGGGAGTTTCAGACCAACGAAGATAAAAACAAAGATGGAAAAAACAACAAGATGCAGCCCACGAACCCGCATGCCCTGGCACCGTTCAATCGCCATCCCCAGTTGCAGGCTGATCTAGCACAATCGGCCTCTGTCATGCAATCATTTTAAAATGCCCTGTTCTTCATACATGCGAATCACCACGGCTGCGAAGCCTCAAGTTGCGATCTCAGCCTCACCTTCATCATAGAAAGAACTGTTTCCACTCTGCTACAACGTCACTCTCCACGTGCACCTCATAGTATACAGTTTTGAGAATCCTTGCCAGAGCTGCCAGCACATGCGTATCTGTGGGACTTAACTGCCTCATTCGAATGTAGCCACTGTCCCTTTTTTCACCTGGAATGATCTCACCAAGTTCTTGCCGGAGGCAATACATGTTGCCACTGAGCTCAATCTCCTCAGCACCAAGACGAACCTTCAAATGATGCAGTCACGTAGAACACTTTTGTGAAACAAGTTCTTTGAACAGTCTTGTACATTTTTCCCCTGTTACCGTACCGGTGCAGGTCGCCAAAGTGCTGCACCTGCCACGAAAATTGGAATGCATCTTCTGAAAACGTCGCAAAAGTATTGTGCCTGCCACACAAAACGACTCTTGACACGTTATGAAACATGTTGGAATGTCACAAAGTGCCACGCCTGCCAGGCGAAACGAGGCTACGCCGCATTGGAAACCTCCAAAAGCGACCACTGTTGCAGAACTCGCCATAGGCACGGCCATACGGGGCTCACGCGACCGCCCGCAACAAAAAGGGCGTCGTATGGACTCGTAACAACTCCACTAGTTGGAAATCTGGAAATAATGAGGAAACATCGTCTTAACATCCTGGAGACACTTTCCATCACTTTCCTATCTTGTGTGGGGAAAATATATGAAGAGGGGTTACCACGACAAAAAAAAAAACATCCTTGTCAATATTTCTTTTACGGGGTCTCAACTTGTGGACACTGGCACAGCTCACCCAGACATCACTGGTGCTCGCTGTCGGCCATGCTGCAGATCCACCAAAACGATAGGTAAGTTGGTTTATAACTAGGCCAACTGAGGGTTACAATGGATGTATCTATAGTTGTATCTATAGTTCCAAAGGGCTATAAAAATCATTAAACATCTATAAACCAACTTCAAACTTGGGGGTCACTTCCCATACGCCCTGTTGATGTTGGCCAGTCCTGGCCGGGCCCATCCAGGCCCCCCATCCGGGCCGCCCATCCGGGCCGCGCACTTCCCAGCAGCCAATCCCAATCGGATCCCATCTCCTGGCCGCAGCACCCAAAAGGCCAGTCCTTTATGGGTGACGTGGTTTTCGTATGTTTTACTTCGGATTAACAGCTGATATACCTACTGTGTATGTATGTATATATATATATATATATATATGCACTAGACTAGACTATATATATATGTATGTATATACACCTATACATATAAATATGTATATATATATATATATATTGTGATGTGGAGCTATAAACTTGTAAACCAACATGACATAACAAAGGTGGCCCTTCCTGCAGGAATTCAAAAACAGCGCGGTACCCATCTGAAGTCTGTTGGGGACGCAGTAGTAGCTGGTCTCCAAGGTGGTGCAGTGAGATTTCTTGGTTTTGTCATGTTGTGTTTCACCTCATAAACTATAATATATATGTATACACACATACATTATATATATATATACATATAACCATATAATATAACATAATATAATATCATATCATAATATATATATAGTATATATTATTATCATAAGTTTCTACCACCCTAGTGACATCGTTTTTTGCATCAACAAACTTGGGGATTCACTGGGGCACCAGCTCATCTCGTCCCATCTCGTCCCGTCCCCCGTGTAGCATCGTGCCCGCGCGAGCTTAGGATGGTTTATTTCACGGGAAATCCATCTATAATTGCTAGCAGTCAGCCAAGCATTCTTGAGGAGGATGTTCATGGATTTTCTAATGACCAGTTCCATCATTTCCATCTTATGGAGATTTAATGAGGATACAATGTGGGGCCCCCGTTCGATAGCTAAGTTGGTGAACATAACTCCAATAACTATGGTCTATGGTACTTATAACTATAGTTACTGGGGTTTATAAACCAACTTGTAACTGGGGGGCCCCACATTGTAAGAATGGGATAATAAGATGCCAACTGTTTAATAGAATTAACAAGTAATGGGATATAATGAATATATATATATATATATACGTATATATATATATATATGTATATAAACTATACAAGTATTTCACATTTATACCATCTATAATAATGGAATAACAATCGGAGAATGATGGAATAATGGTGGGATAATAATGGGGATAAAAATACGAAGGTTTCCATAAATGGGGATACCCCAATAGCTGGATGATTTACAAGGAAAAATCCATCTACATCCCCAAATAGCCTTAATTCAGATTGGTGAACTATTAAAATTTATCCAGATATTTCAATCCATCTATAAATGGAGTTAAAAGGTATCCATCTATTCAGATGAACTATACAACTAAGGTATTTCAATCCATCTATAAATGGATGATGACTGAGGGTAGCCCTATTTGAGGAAACCTCCAAATGACCTGTGAAAACCAATCCATCACAAACGTTTACCCATGTTTACCAAGCACATCCCAGTACTTTTGATTTGTCGAACAAGTGAGCATCATGGACGAGGGGTGAACCCCCAAATACATGAAATTATTTCCTGTCAACATCTACAATTAAATCATGTTGATTAAAAAAAATGGTCAAAACTCTCACTTGGGTTGCGACACAGCAGCTACTTGGTGGCTCATCCCACTTAGTAAGTGGGTTATAACCCCAGTTACAAGTGGATACTTATCCCATTTATAACTGGGGTTATAACCTACTTACTAAGTGGGATGAGCCACCAATTATCAAGCCGTTACGACTGCTATCTGCACCTCGCAGGGTCCGTATTCAGCAGCATGTGGTGCTCCAAAGAGTTTGAACAATGACCCCTCTCTTCGCATCGAAGGATCAATACAATGTGGGGCCGTTAACGAAATCGCATTCAGTTGGTGAACATAACTCCAATAACTATGGTTCATTGTACGCAAATAACATCTTATAACTATAGTATTCATGGGGTTTATAAACCAACTTACAACTGGGGGCCCCACATTGTATGAATACGCAAACCTTTGGCGATGATCAGCAACCAAAGTCGGCTCCGAATGATTCACATCTCCAATTTGTTCGGCTGCTTTCGGTTCTGACATGACATGTCTACAATGTGGGGCCCCCAAACGGTAGCTAAGTTGGTTTGTAACGCCAATAACTATGGTTTATGATACGCAAATAACATCAAATAACCCTAGTATTCATGGGGTTTATAAACAAACTAACATAACTGGGGGGCCCACATTGTAATATAGTCTAATCATGTCTAATCATTGAATATGAACTTTGAATATTCCCCCCAACATTGACTATTCCCTAAAAAGTGACCAGTGAATATTCAATGGGGCCCCACATTGTAGGTGTTTTGCAGAGTCATATTACCCTCTGGCAACCCCAAGGCTTGGCTTCTAGGCTTCACGGGGAACTCCCGACGTCGTAACCGGTTCACCCAAACAAACCGCACAGTTAAATCAGCTATGTATCATATCATATTCCCAGATTTCTGGTCAAAACTGAGTCAAAACCCATGTTTGATGGTTGTATAATGTCTATTGAAAACCAATCAACCAGGGTATTTCAAATATGTTCAAATAGTTCAGATGACTTACTGCCAGCGGAAATGGAAAATCCCAAATTTATAGATGATCTCCCATGACCACCTCCATGGAAAAAGGGATTTCCCGGTTGCCACGTTTGAGTGTCAGAGGGTATACTATCTGGTAACTACCAATGATATACCCTCTGGTTATGACTAACATAGCCATGGTTAAGCCATGGCCCATAGAAATAGATGGTTTACCGTTCTTAAAAAGGGTGATGTTCCATTTCTAATTATGTAACAAATAACCAGATGGTACCTATTGACTATCGTCTCATATCCTTCAACTACCCTCATTAAACTCAGTAAACCGTAGCCGGCCTCATCACATGGCGGCGTCTTCCGCAAACGCTTGTAGGGCCTAGGTGGCGCAAGGAGGGGATGGAGCAAGGCCTTCATACGGCAGGTCTGGTGGTGCACCAGTTTGTTAGCGATTTAATTTTAGCAACCAAAATGGTGATGTAATGGGATGCTTCACTCGGGTTTACGCTAGATATATCTAGCTATTTTTCGGGCTGTAACCCAACTTACATCACTGGGGGGCACCAAATTGTAGTTGATTTGCAATAAGCACCTGCGACTCTCAATGATTACCCACAGTTTCTGAGAAACACTTGAAGTTCTGGAACGATTCAGAACAAAGACAAATAAGTTCTTAGCCCATGTAACCGATGGATTCTGGATCAGTCCCGGTAAATTCTAATCTATAACCATCAAATGGATTTTTTCCTGGTCAACGTCAAGTACGCTCTTGTAAACAAGCATGGCCTGGTGATCACCCTTCTGCTGTTCTGATTTTGGGGGACCACAGTTCATTTAGTTCATCAACGACGATCTCAAATATCTTCTGTTGATTTCTGAATATGGATATGTTATATATATAATAATATATAGATATATCATATATCATAGTATATTTTATATAATGAATTTATATAATGGCCATACATTGATATACATCATGGCCTGATGATCCCAACCTTTAAAAACGAGAAGGGGACCCAGCTTCCCTGGGAGTGGAAGAAGTTGAAGGCCTCATCTTTCGACTGGACTTCTGATCCCTGGAATTCTCCTGGAATCCATCCTGACGTCTGTTGATCGTCTTGATGAATTGAAACTGGTAGCCAGAAAGGGGACGCTCCAAAAGCATCCATGGAAAACTCGATGAACACCGTTGAACAATAAATAAGAACAATGGAAAACTCGGTAATACAAGTACGTAAAGGAAAAACGGTGAAATCCATGGAAAAAATAAGCAAAACCATGGAAAAACCGATCAAGATCATGGAACCCGTGGGCTTCAAAACGCTGCAAATAACGTGCAAAAGATGGATTTTAGCTCCAAAATGCAGCAAATAGCAAGGGAAAGTGCCCCAGACTCAAAGCGCAACAAAAACAACCAAAAAAATACAATCTAAAAACAAATCAAGCAACTCTGCGTCACTGTGCCCGAATCGGCACATAGATCCTCTGTTGCACATGTTCCGAGCAAAGAACTCACATACCCTCCTTTGGAGTGCTGTTCTTTTCGTATGCCAATGAGCAGTTCAACCACCTGTCCCCAGACAGGATTCTGAAACTGAGAGTTGCGTCTCCGGATTTCCACATTTCTATAGATTTTCTCACTTGTCCTTCGCATTCGAATCCATATTACTTACCCTCTGGTAAACGTTGACATAACTATGGAAAATCACAATTTATAGTGAATTTTCCCATGAAAAATGATGATTTTCCATAGTGATATTTCCCCAATGAACTATGGAAAGATCCACCATGCTATCAATGGGTAAATCCACTATTTCTATGGTCATTTTCAATAGCAAACTGTTGACATAACATGACATAACCAGAGGGTAAACGGACCTGCAGATCATCCGACCTTCAACCCAAAACTCCATGACTGGTGGTTTCAACCCCTCTGAAAAAATACGAAAGTCAGTTGGGATGATGACATTCCCAACTGAATGGAAAGTCATAAATTCCATGGTTCCAAAGCACCAACCAGATGACATCATATGGAAAGTCATAAAATTCATGTTCCAAACCACCAAAACTCCATGACATCGTTCCAACATCTACAATCATGTTTGGTGTGAAGGGGGTAAACCGTTTATGAACCCCAGATATACAGTACATCTCCGAGAAAAAAATGGATGGCAAGGCTTATTGGGTTTCTTGGAAACTAGGGTACCGCAAAATTGGCTACTCCAAAATCTCACGGTTGATCATCATTCAATGTCCCATATTGTTTCCCATTAAAATTATTGTTTGGCTGCATCCCCAATTGTCAGACGAACCTGTACATCCCAATATGTTCGGTCATATCCCCATTATTCCCCTGTGTATATAATACCCCAGTTGAAATGGTAATTTATTTCGGCATCTCCATAATGTACAGGAAGGGCGCCCTACATAAGCCAATTGCTGTATTGATGGTGGTGTAGATTCTGCACAAGGTGGTACCCCCTACTTAATTAAGTTGGTTTGTGGCTAGATTAGGTATGGTGTATGGTAGGTATATCAAACGAGTTAATGGAGTTTACAAATAAACTTTTTAGTGCGGAGGACACCAAATTGTAGTTCGGGTGCCATAAACCAACAGACATGATTGAGAGACCCTTCTCGCATGTGGACATGTCAATAGGATATAGCTGGTTTTTTTTCCAAGATGTGACTGGATTTAGTTACTACCTACTTCTTAGTAGCTAGGATGCACATCCAAGTATTTAAGCATCTATCAAAGGATCTGGACAAATCGAGCCATGAACCCTATCCCATCGTATAAAAAACTAGTTGGTTGGTTTCCCTGTGGATTGTAATTTGTAATACTCCCACGTAATCCCCAATAACCCAGGTAGTAGAACTTCTTTTTTTGCAATCAATCAGCCAGGGTACTTTGAATAGCTCAATGACTATCGAAAACAAAGACATGTGAAAGATGATTCACCTCTCCTGACCATCATTTGAAGGAGATGGGGTCAGATCACTAGCGGGTAACCCTCTGAGACTCCACTGGTCAACCAAGGTCTACCCTCTGGCAATTTAACATAGCTATTGAAAATGACAATTTATAGTGGATTTTCCCATTAAAAATGGTGATTTTCCATAGTTATATATGTTAGTTTACCAGAGGGTATCTGAGTCGATTTTTCTGTTCACTTGCCTTCAAAAAAAGCAGATTCTTCAGTTGCGGTAGTGACGGTAACCCCAAGAATTTCTGTGTGGAATTACTGGTTTACCCCAAGAATGAGGGGAAAACTATGTTTAGAAGCGTATTCCCATCCCCCGCTCATATTAAACAGCCCTTGGATATGGTCCCAAATAAGTGATTTCATCCCCTATTAAACCACGGTTTCTAGGGGATGTTTAATATTACTGTAGCTGGAAGGGATTGGTGGAGCACTCCACTCTTGGCCCCCAAACGGTGAGTTGCCAGGAGCCACTTCGGATAAAGCCTGCAAAAAAACGCGCGGAAAAAATCAAGCAAAAAAGGACATCTACCTACATGGTGGCCCTGCCCCATGGTGATAAGCTTGTCCAACCCCATTATATAACTAGACCAATTTGGTTATATTTTCCATAAGCCCTACAATGTGGGCCCCCCCAGTTATAAATTGGTTTATAAACCCCATTAACTATAGTTACAAGATGTTATTTGCGTATCATAAACCAGAGTTATTGGAGTTACAAACCAACTTAGCTACCGTTTGGAGGCCCCACATTGTACATCTTATACACATAATATTGGTGATTAATGTGAACTAATGGGAATTTGAATATGACAATATAGTGGTATAATGGATATATCTGGGTAAATTATAATAATTCACTGACCTGAATTAAGGCCATTTTGGGATGATTTCCCTTACTAACCATGATTCCAGTGAGGTCGCAGTGAGGTCGTTATAATTTGCCCAGATATATTATGGGATATACCCTCTGGTTCACCAGGTTTTAAGCCAACATGGCCATCTAGGGGCCCGCCTTGCATGCGGCTAATGCTGCAGGTCAATGTGAAGTCTGCTCCAAGAATATCCTCCCAACACCCTGAAAATCTGAAACAGGCCATAGCTCAATTCTAGTCAACGTCAAACCAGGATTAACAAATATAGTAGTGATTAGAATTATCAATCCTGGTAGTAAATATAGTAAATAATAAATAATTATTACTAAATACTGCCCATTACATACCAGTTATAGTAGTGATTCATCACTGTTTGGAGGAAATTTTGGGGTATATAAGCCCCAATTAATCAGCGGAGTGCATTACAATTATTACATAATCCGCGGTTGACACTACCTGAATGGACCATTAAGATACTGGTCCAAACAAAAAACTGCCAGACTTTTTTTTTTCGCAGCTCGCTTTAAAGGATATTTGAGGACCAGGAACGACCGAGGGATATTTTCGCCTGCATCATGTGGAAACAAAGCAGCATGCTATCGTGGTCATTCCGGGTGAGGGTCACATTTTGACCTTGTTTCATCCCCCATAAAGCACTATCCTTACGGGTGCCCCTACAGGAGAGTTACCAAAGCTTTAGCTGGTGTTGTTCACATATCAAAATCGTCGAAACAACTACCCTCTAGCAATTTAACATATTGAACATGGCCACTTAGTTCGTGGATTTACCCGTTGAAAATCGTGATTTTCCATACTTAAGTCAACGTTTACCAGAGGGTACAGGAATTGACCATTCGCTTAACCTACCGTTATTCACCGACCTATTGACCTAGCAGTGAACTCCCAAGTCCTGCCTGTTCCAAGAGGCAAAAAAATAGCTCACAGAAACGCCACCATTCCTGGAGCGATGACTGGGCAGCTTCAAAAGTGGGATATACACCACAAAAAGTTGCCGCAAATAAAAGAATATAAAAGATGTGGTGCTTTTGACGGCTTTGAAGCTCCAAAAACTTTAGTGGATAGAATGTGGAGTTCATCGAGCCAGAAATAATTGGGCAAATCAAACCAAAGTGTGGCCAGCGTGGCTGATTTCCATTTCAATGGTGTATTTATTCGGAATAAGCGACAACCTACCCTGCAAACACTGTATCTGTGTTTTCTGGATGAGCTACGTCCACATCAAAATAAGTGAAAGGTTGCTACCTCGCCTACCAGACAAAGGTTATGCCAGAAAATGGGTAGTAAATGGCCAGCAAAACAAGCTTAAACATGTTTTAACCACCAAAACTGGCAACATAACCAATCAGAAAGGGTATGCATTCAATGTACTGGCTATTGAAGAGTAAATGTTCCATCTATATTGGTGTGTCTAGAAATGGCGTATACCTTCCAAACGGGACAATGATGATAAAACAATGGATTTCGTGGTAATTATCCTATTTTCAGAGTGACAAAGCCATATTGAGACCGGCCAGTGAGGTCCAAAAAAACGCTAGAAACCCCAACTGATGGAGGCCAGTGATCGGAAACTCTCCTCATCTTCATCCTCATTCTCGCGACCACCGGAGCCGTCAACAATGCACCAAACCTGTTTTCGTTTTCGCCGGTGTTCTTTTGTGGGGTTGGAGTATCTTTTTTCAGTTCAGGTTAGTTCAGGTTCAAAAAAAAATACCGGAATGTTCAAAACATTGGGAACAAAACTACCCTCTGGTAATTTGTTACATAGCTATTGAAAATGGCCATAGAAATAGTTGATTTACCCATTAATAGCATGGTGATTTTCCATGGCTATGTAAACGTTTACCAAAGGGTAACAAAACCTCTAGAGAGGTTGGGCTTAGTTGGGCTTAATTAGTTGGTCCATGTTCAACCCCAAAGCCCATTGAAACTCAACTCTGTAGAGGTCCGACATTTCGTGGTGAGTATTCTCCAATGGCCCAAGATAATGTGGTAAAACAATGCCATAAACCATCCCCCAAATCACCACTTCTATAGGTGGTATGGTTACCATTCCCAAATGGGTGGTTTATGACATTGTTTTACCAACATTATTCCCAATGATAGGTCAAGATTCATTCAAACAAATCTTCTCAAAGTGTCTGGAGGTCACTTCAGCGCCGGAAGAGACTCTTGGGACTAGAATCAACAAATCTCATGGTCAATCCTACCCTTCAAGAGGCTTTGTGGATTTTTTTTGTGTTTGCAGACTGTGAGCTGAAACATTTAATGTGTATATTATGTGTATATTATGGTCAATCTTTGGTAGTCCACAAGAAAATAATCTGTTGCTGTTTGTGGTTATTTTCCATTTATCTGGTTAAATTATAATAATTCACTGACCTGAATAGTGCGGCCATTTGGGGATGATTTCCCTTATTAACCATGATTCCCAGTGAGGTCGCGGTGAGGTCGTTATAATTTGCCCAGATTTATAGCAAGAAACTGAAGGATTAAACTACCCGGTACCAAGGTATCCCCAGTTACAGCAAAAGATTCGTCAGAATTTTCGTCAGTACATGTCAGTACCATTGAAGTCCAGCCATGGATATCTGCGTATGAATAGAGCCAAAGATATCCACCTACCAGGGAAAAAAAAACATGTTATGTCCATTTCAATGCTGAAAATCCATGAAAATCCCATACCCTGCACTTGGTTTGGAAGTTGGGTTGCATAAATCCCTATGCACAGATCTACTGTAGGTATTAAACGTTTTTAAACTGCACATCACCAGTTGGTTTACCCAGATGTATCAAGCTTTGACCAGTTAGTTTTCGTTGGTTGTGCACACCCTTTACCAAGGTCTACTGATGGTAACCCCCCATTGAAACCCGCATTCATGTTGGTTCACCTATATTAAACAATCATGTTTGACCCTTAAAACCATCTCAAACCATCTTGAAACCACCTTAAAAACAAGCTTAAAAGATCTTTAAAACATGCCATTGCTTCGACTCTTTCAACCCCATTTCTTCATGGTAATCTTACCACCCCTTCACCACCAGCTCTACTTGGTCATCCCCCTATAACCAGGGATATACATGGATATACCCTCCAGGCTCCAGTAGAACATGACGACCCAATGGCATTTTCCAAACGGGCGCCTGGAAGAAAAGTTCTCGTTTCCACTCAATTGGCGATTTTCTTCAGGGTCGAAATCTTTTTATTTAACAGGGGATTTTTCCAACCACAGTTGCAGGGGTTATTAATCCTGTTCTCATGGGGAAAGCCTTGCCATACAGGATGGTGCCACCAAGTTATCAGTTGGTCTATAAACCCCATGAACTAGTTCGTTATATCTACCATAATCCATAAACCCTACAATAGAATTCTATTCTGTTCGGGATGGCACCCCCCTTTTTTTGGTGAATGTTGGTTTATAAACCATTATAACCACCATATTTTCTATATAGTTATATCATGTTATATCCAGTGATGTGAATGTTGGTTTATAAACCATTTTTTTATAACCCACATTAACTATAAAGTTATATAACAGTTATATCTACCATAAACCCAAAACACTTATTCAGCCACTTAAAAGGCAACTGAACGCTCTCCTCGAACGGGACAAACCATCCGACGTCGCCTGCACGTCGCTCATCAAGGACTCGGCCAGAGCTTTGGGACACAGAAAGGAGACGGCTGACAAGACGCCTGCGGCAATCGGCGTGTTTGACGCAACTGGGATGGGTATGATATACATTGATATACTGGGATTCATCATGGATATGATGGATACTTGGGATATAAGGAGGGTATAATGATGGATTCATGTGTAAATTCGGATAAATGGACAATAATTGGATATAATAATAGGATATACACTTTTTTCTGAGGTTTGGTATGGATATAAACCTCTACCAAAAAGGTGACAAACTGAAACGGCATAAATTCCCAACCAAGCAGCGTAAATTTCCAACCAAACGGCGTAAATTATTTTGGTTGTTTTCAATGCATATTTGGACTTTGACATGCTACATATCTACCCATGTTCCCCAGGGTGTGTGAATATCAAAAAAGTGCAAACAATAGTCAAAGAATGGCAGCTGACCCGGCAAGAATCTCCATATTAAACAGTTGTTAAACGGAAGTTTTTGGCTGAGATGGCCAGCCAAAAATATCATGTGTTTAAAAAAAAATATCATAGTTTGATGGCTTCCAGCCAAATCAAGCGACATTTCATCATGTCTTTAAAAAAACAAATACCCAGCAGGCCGTGGGTTTTTCTACTTGGAGGATCATCCCCATGGATCGTACAAGTCGTGAGGCCATAGCGTTCACTTGGTGCGTTTATAACTCCAATTTCACTATGGTTTATAGGTGATATATCTATAGTTTTCATGGGGCTTATAACTCTAATAGCTATGGTTTATGGATGTTTATGGTACGCAAATAACGAACTATAGTTACTGGGGCTTATTTATAAACCAACATTCACACCACGTCACTGGGGGCCTCACTAAACCCTGGTGGAAAAGCCTGGTGTGTCTTAGGAAAATGATCTACAAATCATGGGGATCCCAGTCGGGTAAGTTTGATCCAGTAAAAACCAGGGGCTTAAAGAAATAAAAATCTACAAGTCCCACAAGAAAACCCACATGGGTTTAAAAAAATGTATAAGTCTATCCACATAAAAACGCCGTCTCAATGAGTTTTTTTTAACATTTTTTTTTTTTAATGGGACAAGCATGGACAAGCTACCGATATATTCACCACGATTTTCGTGATCCTCGACAGTCAGCATTCGAAAATGTGACTCTTAGTTTATCACCAATGAAATATATAGGAACATCAGATATAAATTGACGAATATTAAGGCTTTGCCGGCTTTGCCGGCTTTGCCTAGAAAATAGGTGTTCAATGGTGATGTTCATCGGTTTATAACTGTTTATAACCACCAGTGAAGTAGGATAAGCAAGGTTAGTCCAGTCTTAACTGGGGTAATTTAACCAAGTCACGATTCCTCGAAGCTCTGTTTGTTGGCTTGATTTCATCCCATTATAGACCACGTTACAAGGTGGTGCCCTCAAGATAGCTAAGTTGCTGCAAATAACTCCAATAACTATGGTTTATAGGTGATATATCTATAGTTAATGGGGATTATAAACTAATTTATAAATGGGGGGGCACCACCTTGTATATCTACCAAAAGATCCTAGTGAAATATTGGTGAACAAAACCAACGACTCGCAATTCCAATATGGGGCACCCACGAGCAGCTCAGGGGAGGTTTAGTTAGTCAGTTAGTTTCATTGGATATTTACCCTCTGGTAAACTAACATAACTATGAAAAAATGCTATTTATAGTGAGGTTTCCCATTAAAAATGGTGATTTTCCATAGCAAACTGTAAACGTTTACCAGAGGGTAAATACAGTGAACAATTGGGAGTCTTAGCTGATTGGCTCTATCCAAACCAATAATTTTCAGTTGTTCACAAGGGATCTGCACAGTTATTACCTCAACTGCAGCCCCTTTCGCACCAAAATTCTCCCGAAAATTCCCACAGTTATGGCCATTTATCAGTTATAAGTACTTATAACCCCATTTATATATAGAATGTATAATCCCATTTATAGCCAGTTATAACTGGTAAATTGCCATAACTGCAGGATTTCGCACCTGCAAGCCTTGGACTGTGGGCTTCCAAAGGCGCCATGCAACGGAAACTCTGTCCATCCTGGCGCCGGACTCCCGGACACGGACGCAGTTTTTGGTCAAACTATGTGTGCTGGTTTAGTTTGCACTTATCAAGTAGTTCGATAATATGGGTTGCCATATGGGTATGGGTCAATACCTATAGATACATTTGAGTGGGATGAACATCCATTTTAACCCAGCTATGACTTGGGGTTCACTAGGTACCAAGGTTTTGACCCATCCCCATATGGGTTGCCGTATATAAATAGTAAATAGTAAATAAGCCATTGATTAGATGATAGTTATACAATATGTGTCAATATACTTTTCCATAAATGGGGGGTAACCTCAATAGCTGGATGGTTTATCATGGAAAAAACCTATATTAAAATGGATGATTTAGGGATACTATACCCCTATTTCAGGAAACCCCCATATTCGTGAAGCTTCTATTTGGAAACGAATACATTTAACTGGCCGGCATTTAAGGTAGTCAAACATTTCGTGTGTGGTGTTTCACCAGGTTTAATCTGAGGTCCCATTGTTTGTGATTTTGGTTATCTTAAATGCTCGCACTGGTGTTCAGGGAGTTTGACATAATTTGATTCCACATTAGAACCCACAATTTGAGTTTTGGGTTGCATGTTTTCTTGGGAAATCTCCCGTTGACACCTTGTCGTATTTTCTAATGGCACTAACTCCTTAGACGATGGACCCATTCGTTTTTTGGCTAAGGGTGATGTATGCCCATTTGGCTAAGGGTGATCCATTGAACATGATGTAATGATTGAATCTTTGACCCGTTGGTTTATTGAAATTGGGATAAGGTCAGTGCCCACTTGCTTGGTGGCTCATCCCACTTAGTAAGTAGGTTACAACCCCAGTTACAAATGAGATAAGTAGGGTTAAATCCACTTATAACATGGGGTTATAACCCACTTACGAGCCGTGGGATGAGCCACCAAGTGGTCACAAGATCAGCCAATAATGTATTATAATCAATACAGTATGGATTTACCGGTGATCTCATGATCAATTTCAACGGCAGGTTGACACCCATTCCTAGATGGCCTTGGATCCAAACAGCGGAAGCAACATCGGGGAAAAAAACAACAACATATCAAATGTTTTATGGTTTTGGACTAGTGCACTTCAGATAATCACTGATGTAAAGAGGGGACCTTGAAGACCCCTCCCTACATCACTCCGCTGCGCTCCCGCATACTAAGGTTCATGTACAATTTCAGATATAGTTTCCGAAGTCATTTGTTTCTTTACTCCTAAGGCTAAGGTGTTCTCCTTTTACCCCGTTCTTGATGCACAGGTGCTATCCCTTGATTGTACCCAATTCCTCTCTTTCGCCATCACCGCCTGATATCCAACTGTATCATCAATTAACCATTATTAAGCAGAAATTGCACACAATCAACCGGCAATTAATCTCTATTAACCAACATTTAACCAACAATTAACCACTATTAACCACTATTAACCATTATTAAGCACTATTAACCACTATTAAACAACAAATAACAATTTTTAACTACCAGCATGAATCTCAAGTAGTTGATGTTGATGAATGGGATGCGCTGGGGTCCCATAGCTAAGTTGGTATCTGACTAGGTCCTGCTCGGATTTATAGTAGTTATAACATCTTACAACATATTATCTGGGCAAATTATAATATTTCACTAACCTGAATAGTGCGGCCATTTGGGGATGATTTCCCTTACTAACCATGATTCCAGTGAGGGAGAACAGTGAGGTCGTGATGAAATTTACCCAGATATTATAACATCTTGTAACCATACAGATTAATGGGTATCTTAATGGATACATCAACTATAAATATGGCATGTTATTCCGTACTTGGTGGCTCATCCCACGAATCGTAAGTAGGTTAGTTCACCCCAGTGATTTACATGGGATAAGGAGCGGGTTAATCCACATCAATCACTGGGGTTATAACCCACAACCACGAGCCGTGGGATGAGCCACCATAACATCTTGTAACCATACAGATTAAGTATCTTAATGGATACATCAAAACTATAAATATGGCATTAATACAGCCGTAGAGGGCCTTTAATAAACAAAGATCGCTGCGGTTTTCTCCGGGCCATCGGCTCGGCACCTTGCACCGCAAGGTGAAGCGGTTGGCCACCGCATCGCCGATCCAGGTCGGTGATCCGCCCACAGACACCTGCGACGCCCCGGCTGGGTTCCCAGAACGGGTTGATGAGTCAACTGAGTCTATCCCCATTGAAAATCATAAAGAACTGGTCTACTTGGTGGCGAACTACCCACGGCTCGTAAGTGGGTTATAACCCCAGTGATTGATGTGGATTAACCCGCTCCTTATCCCATGTAAATCACTGGGGTTATAACCCACTTACTAAGTGGGATGAGCCACCAAGTAGCTTATCTGGTTTGGTTTGGTGTCTTATTAGATTACACATTTCGGAGTCTAAGTTGATTCATAGTCCAGTCGTTTATAATCCAGTCGTTATGGGTTTTAACATGTGGAATATAACATATGAGTGGCGGACAAAATTACTTGCTACTCGTAATGGACATGGTGGTCCCCTATCGGTTGTGAAGGTTTGTACTTCCATGCTATGTGTAAAATAGGGTATCGGTAAGTGGGTGGTCCCCTATCGGTTGTGAGGGTTTTGACACAAATTTGAACATCCCAAGTCCACTCCCTACTACTTTAGTCGTCCACTAATTTGGTCGGCTACTCATACAACCTATTGGTTTTAAAGGGGTTATGCCACGTACTACAAGATGGTGCCCTAGTTTGTCAGCTAAGTTGGTTTAAGTCACGAATATCCAAATAGGGTGTATGAAATGTGGGTTTATAAATCAACAAACACAACTGCGTGGCACTACATTGAATGATGTTCAAAAATGTTATAAATAACGGATGATGATTATCCGACAATTTCGAAGTTTTAGAGTCTTTAACAGTTTGAAGTCTATTTCCAGGGGAAAGGGATTGTAATCTTGTGAACCCAACTCCAATGATACCCTCCAGTAAATTAACATAGACCCTGGTAGATAGGGGTTGGAAGATTAGTTTCCACTAAGCATGGGATATTTTCAGGGTCTATGTTAATTTACCAGAGGGTAACTATTTAATTGACTATACCTGGTTGGTGGTATACCTACCCCTCTGAAAAATGATGGAGTTCGTCAGTTGGGATGGTGACATTCCCAACTGAATGGAAATTCATAAAATTCATGTTCCAAACCACCAACCAGATAAACATGTATAATTACCATATTTGGAGAGATGAACATCCAAGTTTTAGCTACGTGTTCAAAAGAGAATCAACAAAAACAACAACCCAGCACAAAAGACTGCTGATACTTTGGACAAATTTCCTCCTCAAGCATTCCGCCATGTGACATGTAGCGAAAATGATCAGCAGGTACGAATTGAGAAACACGTTTCCATGTCTGTCCAGGCAACGTTGCTGAAGCTTGGGTGTTTTGTCCGTGGGCCAAAAACATAATTTGACCCGCCGCAACAGGCCCTTGACTTTCCACGACGATCTTTGCCGTGCATTTTCAAAATTCAAGTTAAATTCTTTTTCCATGAGCCCTAGAAAATGTGTTGGCAAGGCATCGTAGCTGCCGCCACCTGCCAAATCCTCAGCAAAACAAAGCCGCAAACACCACTCTGAGTCATCCGCGAAAAAGCCACCCACAGATCCCGGTGTCACACTCTCACGGCAAAGGCATTTCAGAACTTCTGGGGGACTTTTCTGGGCCTTGCTCAAAGGCCCCGCTATGGTGTGTATATATATATATATATTTGTTATATAAATGTATAGGTTACAATGTGGGGCCCCCCAGTTGTAAGTTGGCTTATAAACCCCATTAACTATAGTTATAAGTACCATAAACCATAGTTATTGGAGTTATAAACCAACTTAGCTATCTTGGGGGCCCCACATTGTACCAGAGGGTAAACATTAAATTATATCCTTTTCCAAAAAGGCCAACAGCCAACGGGGCTAACCTCGCAGGTCCCACGATTCGCCGTGGATTTGATCGCCCAGCAAAAGTTCATCTGAGCTTTTGTGGCTTAGTTCACCGTGGATTAAGTGGATTATATAACATACATTACCCTCTGGTAAACATACACAAGACTATGGAAAATCACATTTTTTAATGGATAAATCAACTATGTTCAATAGCTATGTTAGTTTACCAGAGGGTAACCCTGCTTATCCCACTTATAACTAGGGTGAACTAACCCACTTAACTGGGATGAGCCACCAAGTAACATGTTCAAGTGGATCATGTCATCATATCATCGCATCCAAGTAGTCATTATATAGTCATTCTACTTAGAATGTGGTACCACTGCAACTGCATTCTCCCATTTAAATATCCTCCGGAAAATGAACAAAACAATGTATATATATATATATATCCCTGAGGATCAAAAGGTGGTATTATAAAATATTATAAATTCACTTATCAAAAGGTACCCTTGTCAGAAAAGTATCCTTGTGGGACCTACTGTGCCGATACTGCGCTATTTGTCTACTTCGATCCTCAGGGTAAAACCTCACCTTTCCCTATGAAGGGATGTTCCATATCTCTCTGTAATCTACCGGAGAATTACTGGGTTAGACACTGACAGATTGTGGCACAGCTGTACAAGGTGTTACCCGTTCGTTATAGCCCCAATTAACAAGTTCGATATATCTTCCATCAACCAGGGACAGCACTTCGAGGGAGTTATCCCATCTTATGGAAATTATGAAATGCCATGTAGTCTGGGCAAATTATAATAATTCACAAGCCTGAAATAAGGCTATATTGGGATAATTTCCCTTCATCATTCAAGTGAGGTCGTAGTGATGTCGTTATAATTGACCCATTTACCCAGTAATATAGTTACACCCATGCAACATCATGAAACTAACCCCAGTCCTGCCCCAGTGCCCCCAACTCTCCCAGTTTTTGCCTCAAAGAGTTGGGTGGCACCCCAATGAAGGATGAGCTGTGAAGCCTTTCGATGCCCAAGGATGGTCGAAATGGTCTTCCGACCCCTTCGTCTGGTGGTTGAATTCTCTCCCAAGTTCTTGGGATTCGAAGTGCTACGAAGTGTTACCCTCTGGCTATGACTAACAGTTCGCCATGGTATAGATGGCCCATAGAAATAGAGGTTTACCTATTAATAGCATGGTGATTTTCCATGGCGAACTGTTAAATGACCAGATGGTACTTCGAATCACCATGTTTGGCAGTGAAATTCTAGTTGCATTTCGTTGGTGGAACCCATTGATCTATTGGTTGAATAACATGATTTCCTCAAATCCAGCTGATTGACATGCTGCCATGTCATAGCCTGTTGTTCAATAATGGTTGCACCATGTCCGACCAAAAGGTAAATGCTCGGTATGGCATATCATTTCCATCCAATCCATGTTGTTTTTTTCAACGGTGGGGTCACTCGCTATTAATCATGCAACCACTGGAAGAAAAAAATCTACCCTCTGGAAAATTAACATAGACCCTGCCAAACAGGGGTTGGACGATTAGTTTCCACTACACATATGAGATGTTCAGGGTCTATGTTAATTTACCAGAGAGTAGCAATTTACCAGAGTAGTAAACTAACATAGCCATTGAAAATGGCCATTTATAGTTGATTTACCCAAAAAAAATGGTGGTTTTCTATAGTTATGTTAGTTTACCGGAGGGTAAATCTTGTGAAATTATATGAATATCCAGATTCTTATTGGCATGGTCTTTGCCAAATCCAGTCTTGTGTGGCTTGAATTGGCTGAAAAAAAAATCTTTGTAGCTTCAAATCAAACTTGTTGTGGCTTAAATCCAGTTTATTACGATTTATCAAGTTTTTTTTCTGGTGTTAAATCCAGCTGGTTGATGGTTGACCTACCCCTCTGAAAAATGATGGAGTTCGTCAGTTGAGGTGATGGCATTCCCAATAAATGGAAATTCATAAAATTCCATGGTTCCAAACCACCAACCAGCCAGTGTAATTCCCGTGTTGTTGGAGAAAATCCTCGATTTTTCCGCTGAAACATGCCCTTTTTTCGCCTCGTTCAGGCGTAGGAAGTAGTGCGGCAAGCGGTGCCTGGAAACTTCGGCGTAGGATCACTGGGGGATGGGGGATCACTGGGGGTTAGCCTCCGGTGAACTAACATAGCTATTGAACCATTTGGGAATGTCAAACATTGGGGTTTCCATGGGTATAACTATGCTAATATTTCATGGGAATATCATGGAATATCGTGGAATGGGATATATCACCAACAATATGGGTATCCTCTGGTAATCTAACATAGCTATTGAACATGGCCCAGTCGAAATAGTGGATTTTTTTCCCATGAAAAATGGTGGATCTTCCCATAGTTTATTGTATGTTTATCCCAATATGTTCGGTCATATCCCCATTATTCCCCTGTGTACTTGGTGGCGAACTACCCACGAATCGTAAGTGGGTTATAACCCCAGTGATTTACATGGGATAAGGAGCGGGTTAATCCACATCAATCACTGGGGTGAACTAAACCACTTACGACTCGTGGGATGAGCCACCAAGTAGCCAGTGACAGATTCTGGCGCTGGACAAGGTACCCAATAGTTAGCTGAATTCGTGATGGCCACCATTAACTAGTTCGATATATGGCCAATCAGCCAGATACCCTGCAAAAAAAAGGTAAATTCTTGGCTGGTGAACGGAGATAGTTCCATTGATACCAGAAGACTAAAGGATTGAAGTACTCATCCAAGATTGACCTAGGAACTAAGGGCTTATACTTATACATTTTATACTAGCTAGTTTACTGGGGAATTTATGATAACCCATAGGGAGTAGGGAAACCAGTTTCAACCAACTAGTATTTCATCAGGTGGGATAGGGATGGTTCAGACCCCGGGACCACAGATTGACCTGAGTCTATTGAAAAAAACCCTCCAATGATTGGGGTGCCCAATTTATATCATTATATATTATTATATTACTATATTAGTATATTAGTATATAAATGTTAAGCAATGGTCTCCACTGCACGTCCAAGAAGATGTCCTGTCTGCAGATCTTCCATGAGGCGACTCAGAATGTCTGGATCTGAATGCTCGAGCTGTTCACCAGAAGGGCCGGCAGGGCCGGCTGGCTGATGTACTGCAACTTGCACCATCTGGATGCCTGCCGTCTGGGCACAGGTCAATGACCTCATCCCCAATGTTGTACATCGTGGCATAGACCTGCTAGTTCCCCACAATGACCTTATCGTAGCGATCGGCTGATGCAGTGATTTCCCCTGAAAGTTCAATGACGAGCTTATATATCTGGGTAAATGAAATAAGATTTCACTAACCTGAATTAAGGCCACCAACTTCTTGCGGTATCAGCCTGCAGGCCAAGAGGAACTCTTTACCTGAATTAAGGCCATTTGGGGATGATTTCCCTTATTAACCATGATTCCAGTGAGGGAGAACAGTGAGGTCGCAGTGAGGTCGTTATAATTTACCCAACGCTTCTTGGTCCCAGGGTTCATAGCCCGACAAATCGTGAGACTATGTCCCGTTGTTCCCTTGTTAGGAACAACACAATGAGATCTTTGCAAAAAAATAAGCTGGAGACATCGAAACTGATGTCAGGATGCCAGTTAAAAATATAGCTGCCGTTGCGGGTTTTGTTGCCAGTCTCGTAGTTTTTTCATTTGTCGTCTTGCTGCCATACTTCTAGTGTACCATGTTCCTCGCATCTCAAGGCGGAGCTGTTGATAGCGTCTGTCATCGAGTTCCCAATCCATGCTTGGCAATTCATGCAAGGCAGTGCCATCTGGGGGTCCAGTGCTGCCCCGGAGGTAAGCTGCCAAAGTGTCATACACCCAATCCTGATGGGGGTACTCCGGTCGCCATATAAACCCACTGGTATAGAATGATGTTCCCTGGACGAACATCGCCTTCACAAGCTGTCTATCCAATTTAGGCCAGACCATGTCTGACAGCAACCCTGTGATCTGCAAGAAAAAGATGGAGAATGTCATCGCAAACTCAGAAAACTTAACATTATGTCCCATAGCCATAGCTCTATTTTTGAAGGTTACAAGAGTCTCATTGCCTTTACCATCTTCTCTTCGCAAGGGAAAAAACATCTTTGTGTATTGCATAAACGAAAGGACAAGTTCATACCAGCTGACTCCAATGTTTTGGTGTGGCACCTGGTCTGGAGCCTGTGGCCAGCGAAATTCCCGCATCCATTGAACCATCTGTCTAGCAAGCCAAGGTCCCCATGCACAATCATGGGTCCAATCCAAGCGTAAATGTGGTGGTGTCCATGGTGGGTCTACCTTGTATGTTTTCAAACAGTCCCAGTTAAATGCAACTTCTCTTGCGGCGTTCTCATCGTGCT